TGCCTTCCTTAATGGCGATCTATTTGAGGAAGTGTACATGGATTTGCCTCTTGGGTACAAACGATAAGGGGAGCATTCTGTTTCTACGGGTAAGTGGGTTTGCAAGTTGCATAAGTCCATCTATGGCTTGAAACAAGCTTCTCGTCAATGGTATTCCAAGTTTTCACATTCTTTAATTCAGTTTGGTTTTCAGCAATCCAAGTCTGACTATTCCTTGTTCACTAAAGGTATCGGCTCTTCTTTTGTTGCTTTATTAGTATATGTGGATGATATTGTTCTCACAGGACCTTTTCTTGCTGCTATTGATTCTGTCAAGGTCTTCTTACATAGTTCTTTTAAGTTGAAGGATTTGGGACCATTAAAGTACTTTCTTGGTCTTGAAATTGCTCGCTCCTCATGTGGCATAGTCCTTTCACAGCGGCAATATACTCTACAGCTTCTGGAGGATACTGGTTTCTTGGCAACAAAACCGGCATCTCTACCTATGGATCCAAAACTCTCACTCACTGCCACTGCCGGAGAGCTTCTTCAAGATGCTTCCCAGTACAGACGTCTCATTGGTCGTCTTCTTTACCTTACTCTCTCTCGTCCTGATATTACCTTTGTAGTACACAAGCTGAGTCAATTTTTATCTCAACCTCGGTTTCCTCATTTACAGGCTGCACATCAGCTTCTTCGGTATCTCAAGACAAGCCCTGGTCAGGGTTTATTCTTTTCATCCACATCTTCTTTGCAGCTTCGTGCTTTTTCCGATGCTGATTGGGCTTCTTGTGCTGACACCAGGAGATCAGTTTCTGGTTTTTGTGTCTTTCTTGGTGATTCCCTGGTTTCATGGAAAGCAAAGAAGCAGTCCACTGTATCTCGTTCTTCTGTTGAAGCTGAATACATGGCATTGGCAGTCACCACAAGTGAACTTGTCTGGATTCAACAATTGTTGAACGATTTTTCTGTTTCTCTTGATGGTCCGGTCCTTCTTTTTTGTGATAATCAGGCTGCATTGCACATTGCTTCTAATCCGATTTTTTATGAACGTACAAAGCATATTGAAATTGACTATCATTTCGTTCATGATAAAGTTTCTGCTGGCTTCCTTAGACTCATGCCGATCAGCTCCAAGCATCAACTTGCTGACATGTTCACCAAAGCCCTGCCTTCTACATTGTTATTTCCCTTGTTGTCCAAGATGGCTGTGAAAAACATTCACAGTCCATCTTGAGGGGGAGTTTTAGTTAGTTAGTTAGTTAGACTAGTTAGACTAGTTAGTTTGTTAAGCTTACTTAACAAGTTTGTTAGTTCGTTAGACTAGTTAAGCTTACTCAGCAAGCTTATTATTTTACTCTGTATATAAAGGCTGAGATTGTGTAATGTTATTGGTTGAGTAAATGAAATATTCATTTTTCCCCTTTTCCGTATTAATTCTAATTCTCAGTTCTCTTTTTTCTCTTCCTATGTTTTCTAAAACAAATAATTAATTACTACATAAAAATATCTTAACAACTAACATAAATACTTTATGTGTAATTGATATGTGATATAAATATATTAGTGTTATGAGGAAATATTTGCCTCATTTTATTCTATTTTCATGCTTGAATGAACATAATCAAGTTCCATGTAATATAGAAAATCTTATGGATGTTCCATTAATCAAGTCCCACAATTGAAAGATGTGTGTTGCTCGTCGATCTCGATTCTACGCCTCCCCAAACGCGTGAAGCTATGTCAAAATTAATTATTGAAGATCAGAACAAGGAAAAAGGCCATATTATCAGCCAATTCCTTTCTGTTGCTCTTTAGGCTCTCTCTAGAATCTGAAATTAGTGTATATGCTGACCAGATTAGTTTCATGTCAATGCTTCAATTGCAATTTTTGTGCTATGTACTCTTTGATAAGCCTTTATAACCTACAAAAGGACAAAAATTAGGACCAGATGAATTAACTGGAGAATCAATGAACATATAATTTGTCAGGAAAAGTTACAATTTGGTTCCCTACGTCTTATTTAATCAGTAGACTAGTGCCTAAGTGTTCAAATAATACAACCTAAGTAGCCCATCCTTTTAAAACAAAAAATGCCCATAGAGTACTTTTAGGTCGTTTTTTGGGAAGAAATATCATTTAGGCCCTTTCAATATGAGAACATGTCAAAAAAAAACAAATTACTTTTTTCTGAAAAAATACCTTAAGGGCCCTGATTCCTGTCTTCCTTTTTTTTTTTTTTGGTTATTTTCGGAAATTTATGTATTAAAAAAATTAATTTGAAACTTTAATTTAAAATGGCGTAAAAGATATTTTATTGTTGGAAAAAATGGCTTGTTAAGCCATTTTAAAGGCCTATTTTGAGGCCCATATTCGGATGGGGCCCAATAAGTTTTTGGGACGGGTCTCGATGGATTTGCGTTCTCCTTCGCGAGGAGATCGAGATCGAGTATTCATACACTCAAAATGGTTTTTGGGTGAATGAGAAATTGATGGTCTAAGTATGTTACTTAGAATAGTAAATGTAGAAGAAAATTGTAAAAGTCCCACATTGGCTAGGAGTGAAGTCAATGTGGTGTTTATAAGTAATTGCACTTTGAAGTTTATTTAAGCATGTATACCAGAGAGGCTCTCTCATGTGCAGGGGGGTGCGAATCATGATCCCGGTGGGTTGGGACTTAATGTGTGTGCTTGTGACCTGCGAATGAAGACATATATTGGACTAGGTTCTTCAGGGGTTGTAACCTCTAAATTAAGCACCATTAATCTGAGAATAAATCCAGATTTATACACCATAATGTCATGGTGTAACACCCAGATTTTAGAGCCTATATAAAGGGCCCTCTCCAGCCATTTGAACACACACACTTTTCAGAATTCTCTTCTCCTTTTTCCGGTTTTTCTCTCTGTCTTGAGTAGTTCTTCTTGTTCCGGTTTTGGTGATAGAGGAAAGATCAAGTTCTAGTTCGCCGGACGGTTCCAAAGTGCATTGAGCTACCGTCGTTGTCGTTGTATCCTAGGAGACGGACGTCCAACGTAACCTCAAGCACACGCCGGAGGGGACGAATCTGTTTTAAGGAAAACGTGGTCCACGTGCCTCGACATCCTTGCAATTTCCAATCCCGAGTTTGGTAGAAAGGTTCAATTTACATTGTTAGGACAGCAAGAGATAGAGCTTGCATGAATAATGCCACTATGATTCCCATCCAAAGCCCTTGATCAAGATCACATTTGATTTGAAGTCCACTACATGGTTAGTATTCTCTTTCCATGGCAGAACTAATCAAGTAAGAAGCAAGAACAATGGCAAATAACAAAAACCAAAAAAAAAAAAAAAAGTGAAAAGAAATAAAAGAGGGTGTGGTCTACCTTTCCACCAATGTGGTAGACAAAGGCTAACAATATAGCAGTAGGAATGCCCATAATATAACCTTTATATTACTTTGCTTTGCCTTGCATCTGGTCAAGCAAGAAAATAAAAACAACTTATGGTTCTATACATGATAGTCTTAGTTATAAGGTTCAAACCCAACATTCTAAATACTTAAAGTCAAATCATAAGTATAAACAAGCATGACAATAATATCTTTATAAGCCTAGTATTTAAAACAAAATTAGAATAGTCTAAGTTTCAAAAACATTAACATGATTGCGGAATTATTTTGCATGATGGTATCCAATCCTAGACCTCCAGCATTACAGGTTCTATGCTAGGTCCATCATCAAATTGTAGGTCTTTTATTTACAACATGAATAAGCTAGGTGAGCTAAAGATTAGCGAGTACAAATGCCCTCACAAAATATTTGTACTCAAGTCACATATAAGGATGCATGACTTTGTATGCTCAATTATGAAAAGTATTTTATTCTCAGGGCCCTGTGCTCATACCGATATGCCTTCAACCAACAGAGTATTTGGGGAGCTACCAAAACATTTACTCTGATCATACCTAAGGTCATGTTAATTATTAATTTTATTTTCCACGTGGAATCTCATTACCTCCCTCATGGAGTTGGTACGACACTTATTATCATTACCATTACCTCAAATTAAAGTGAATATGCAATTATAATCATGTCGCATATGTATTTCAATTATGATCATGTCACATATGATGAGACAAAATACTGAATAATATCATTATCACGCATATCAATCACAAAGATTCAGTGCATAGAAGCAAATACTATCTCAAGCATATCTTTTGAAACTCATTTATGTTATAAATGAGATTTGTACTCATCTAGATGATTGGAATTTAGCGGTTAATCGCAACAATCCACGCTCTCAACTCGTAAGTTCAGTGTTCAAGTTGTACCGACAAATTTTCAATGTCGGTTTACTTGCAAACTCCTAACTTTATTCACTTAGGGTGCGTTTGGTTACAGTGACAGAATGATAATGAGAATGGTAATGGAATGGAATTGAAATGCGCTGGAATCATAAACTGATTCTATTGTTTAATTGGAGTTATGGAATCAACACCTGAATGAAAATTATGCTGTTTGGTTGATAACGGAATGAAATTGAAAAAATTGTATTTTGACAAAAATACCCTTGATTGATAATCCTAAATAATTTAATATTTTAATTAATTAAAATAGTAAAAACATAATTTAATTATTGAAAAAAACTTTTTATTTGAAGGATTATAATTTAAAAACTATATTTCAATTGTTAAAAAAAATAATATTTGATATTTTTATGTAATAATAAATTATTATAAACTCAAATATGATAACTTTTAACATCTATCATGATATGTTTCTTAAAAAATATAACTTTAGCATCATAACGTGGCGATTTAGTGGTCTTGGGAAGCTCAATTTTAGTTATAAAATAAATAACTTTTCGACAAACGTTTGTTTTGCGAAACAAAGACGATTGTGTCTTTTAGACGGGAAAACTGTAGATGAACATGCTTATCAAAAAAAAAAAAGTAGATGAACAACAGGTTGTGAAATAATCTCTTTAATCGAAACATTTCACATATTTAGAAACAAAAGAAAAAACCAATAGCAAAATTTTTCAGATATTTATTCGGAGGTTGTTTTTGTACAATATGCAATGAAATTTACACTGATGTCATCAGAAAGAGACCATCTTCCTGTCAAGGGGTTGAAAGCAAATCCAGCCATCTCTTTGACCTGCAAAAAGCCACCCAATTAGCAAAAGTCTTTTTATATCTATATACGTGTGTGTATATATATATATATATATTAAATTTTTATCAAGTCACATCATCAAATATAAATGATTCATATATTTGATGGGTAACCATCATAAAAACTAACCATCGAAAACCACCCTGATATTCTGCAGGCAACTGGATTCGTCCATGATAGATCCCACCCTCAAATTCGGTATCACGGGGACCTCTGATGGCGAATTGCCATTCAAAAATGTTCTCCTGTATGCAAAACTTATGATTTTACAACTACATACATTCAAATATCTAGGGCGTAAATCAAAGCAACTTTTTCAACCAAACACATAAGCAAGAGGTGCTTCTCAAAAACTGAATGATAAACTGAACCAAATAAGAACATGAAACAACGGAATACATATTGAAATGAAGCATAAAACTAATCCCACAGAGAAGAAAATTATTCAAAAACACAAGGAGTATAAAACAACTGATTAGGGAATTTTGAGCATAACAATAGTACAGTAACATTACAAATGTCCATAGCAATAATGCATTTCCTAATTCTTTCAATAGGATGAGGATTAAACCAGCTATGAATAAGCAATTCGACCAAATCTCAACAAATTGATCCGTTCCACAGAGAAACAAAACATAATTCTTTACAAGATGAAGAACTGAACAACCTAATCTTAGCATAAGCCAAACCAAATTGCAAACAAAATCACTGTTCGATCGAAAAAATTCGGGATCTTCCATGAAAGAAACCAAAAATTAAAATCACAAACTCAAAAAGATCAAACATTTCCACATCGAAACCACAAATTTCACCGCCGAATCAATAAACTTCGGAGAAAGACCTAGATCAATTCATCGGAAAAAAAAAATTCATGAAAAAGAAAATAGGGATCGGAGAGAAAATGAAACCTCGAGAGGCAAGCTCATGAAATCGTCAGAGGAATTCGACTGCATCTCCTTGATTTCTTGAAGAATCCTCTTCACCGCCAGGTTCTTGAGGTTGTACTTGTCCTCTGCCATGGCTCCGCCGCCATCCGATTGGTGATTAAGTATCTAGAGAGAGAGAGAGAGAGGGTGGGTGATAGATTCGTTGGTTTAAGAAACAATTTGGAGCTGTTTGTTTGTTCAACTGCAGTCAAAATGATAGATTCGTTGGTCTCGGAAAGCTTCGTTAGGGTTTGGGAATCGAGGAGAGAGATGCCGGTGACGGGTGGTGGATGCGTAGAGAGCTCGGAGTTGGTTCGGGAGCTTCGAAGCCATGGCGTCGATGGTCAATGGCTGGAGCTCGGTGGTCGAGCAAGAAATGGGGCTAGGGCATCAGGGAATCAGGGCTGAATGGAGAAGCCATTCCACAACCCCCCCACATGAATGGCCATTCACTCAAAATGAGTGAATGGGCTTTCCGTAGGAAAGCCCTTTCTAACCCAAAAAATGAAAGCAAACAATGGAATTTGATGGAATGACTTTTCCTTTCCATTCCATTCCCCCCAACCAAACATAGCCTTAAGTCTTATGAATTGTTTCATATCAACATTCTAGGATTAACTAACTTAATTACTTTTCCAGATTCTAAGTTTAAAAATATTCTCAATTAATTTAACTAATTAATTTCTCCAATCAACTAGTTAATTTATTTCTCAGCTTTATTAACCAAAAGAGTTAATTATTCTCATTTTTTAAAACATTTAGGGCCCGTTTAGTTCGCTGATTCGAGTTTTTAATTCGAGTTGAGATGTGATTTTATGTGAGAGCTTTTTACTGTAATAAAAAGTTAGATGTGATTGTTTGTGAGAACTTTTTACTATAGCAAAACTCGAATTCTAAACTCGAATCAGCGAAATGAACGGGGCCTTAATTTACTAACTTTATTTGATAAATTAATCATACTAATTAATTTATATATTACTCATTTAACTAAGTCAACTATATTAATTTATCTCTAACTCTCATAATTTTGTCTGTCTCACTACTTAATTAATCTTATGCCTAACTCTTAACCAATCTCAAAGTCGGGTTGGATCATCTAAGTTTCGGGTCTTAACTTTGTTACCAAAAGGTTACTTTCAATAAACCTAAGGGTTCTCCTATCTTTAACTTGGGCTCTTAGGTCCATTTAGTTTCTTTATCTTAATTGGGTCATGCAAGAGTCACCTCTGATCCTCTAAAGGAATTTGGGTTCGATTGGAGTTTTCTGACTTCAGTTGACAATCTTACCCTCGGGAAAATTATCATTTTATCCCCAGCACGTTTTGACAATTCTAAATTCATATACCTCAGGCATTTGTTATGCTAAACATTATGCCTTTAAGGACCGTGAACTAAGGGGATGTTTGGTTTGAGGATTCAAATTATGATTTGAATAATGGTTTATGATTCGCTATAGTATTTTTTCTCATAAAAAATACACGTAAATCGAAAATAATTCTAATCACATGATTCTAATCCATGAACCAAACATCTCTTAAAACTCAAACCTCCGTGTCTGTTTTGACTATTTCACCCTAAGCGGTCAAAATGACCATTTTGTCCCTAATGGCTTTCTAGACAACTAATGGGTTCCGATCATGGTTTCCTAGGTTCATTGTGCCCAATTGAGGTTTTGGACTCTCCTTTACAAATCAACTCTTATTTTCCCAAAACTTACAGACAAGGTTCCTTGGCGTGGTTGTGTAAGTTTATGTGCTCTTTATTCAAGCCAAAGTTCGGATGGCATTAGGAATAAGGATGACGATTCGTTTTAAACACGGATCTTGTATGTATTAACCCGTTCATTAATGTGTCAAAAAAAAATATAACTTGAATACTACCCATTTATTAAACGTAACAAAAATGTTAATCCAAACACGATCTGCGTATTAATCATGTCGACCTATATAACCCATTTTAATTAATATAATGTAAAAGTAATTGATACAACTAAAGCTTATTTAATACGATCATGACATGATTTAAGAAAAACAAGTAAAGATTACCAACAAATTTTAAACTTCATATTGTTTGAATTTACATGATTCAGTAATGACACATTTAGTGAATCATGTTAGACTGATTAATACGAATCCAATTCATTTATTAATCATGCTAATTGTATCAGCCCATTTATAATGCAAATTAATTTATAGTAAATCCAAACTCACTAAGTACTATGTGTGAGTTTTGAGTCGTGTTCTAAATTGTCATCCCTAATTAGGAAGTTGACTTCTAGATATAAGCTTCAAAAGGAAAGTGGAAATTAGGGTGAATTTTAGATTCCTTGCGGGTTTAAGAAGTTTGTGGGAATTGGCCACCGGCATGGCCAGAGCAACGAGACCCAGTGACAATGAAGGAGCCACTTCTAGAGCGATAGTTACGGGGCACACAGCCACGCTAACAATCGACCACCAAGTCGCAATATTAACTTGTCTAGGGCATGCCCTTCAGTACATTGATTCATGTTCTCACATTAAATAAGCAAGTGTAAACGTTTGATGAGTATTTATTGAGATTATTAAGTACTTAAGCCCAACAATAAAATCTGGCAAAGACTTTTAGGAAAAAGAGCCATATTATCAGCCAATTCCTTTCTGTTGCTCTTTTGGCCCTCTCTAGAATATGAAATTAGTTACATGCTGACCAGATTAGTTTCATGTCAATGCTTCAATTGCAATTTTTGGGCCATGTACTCTTTCAGAAGCCTTTTTAACCTACAAAAGATACAGAAGTTAGAATCAGATGAATTGACCGGTGAATCAATGAACATATTTGTAAGTATTCTCACTGGTGCACCTCTGAGTTTTAGGATCAATCTCAGTTTGCCTCTTGAATTTTAAAAATTCTCACTTCTCTCTTGAACTTTGAATTGTTCTTAGTTAACCATTTTTGTTGTAATTTCTATTAAAATCATATAGAAAAAGAGGATGTTAAATGTAGTCATATAGTTTTTATCTGTTTTTTTTTTAACAGAAGTCCAAATAGAGAGATTACGTGACTGTGTCATTCTTTTTTTTTTAATTTGTTTTTAACATAAATTGCAACATAAGAGGTTAAGTGGAAACAATTCGAAAATCAAGAAGCAAAGTGAGAATTTTTAAAGTTCAGAAAGTAAACTGAGATTGACACTAAAGTTCAAGGGACATAAGTGATAATAACCCTAAAAGTTACATTTTGGATCCATATGTCTTATCCAATTAGTAGATTAGTGCCCTAGTGTTCAAAGAATACCAAATGAGTACCTCATGTTTTATAAAACGAAAAGTGCCCTTCGAGTACCTTCAGGTTGTGGAAGAACTATCATTAGGCCCTTTCAATATAAGAACATGTCAAAAGAAGGAAATTACTTTTAAAGGCCCTGTTTTCTTTCTCACTTTCTTTTCTTCTTCCTTTTTTTTTTTTAAGGTTATTTTTGGAATTTTATGTATTAAAAAAATTTAATTTGCAACTTTTGTTTAAAATGACGTAAAGGATATCTTAAATCATAAGAAATTGGTGCAGGATACTCAGATTTTTTCTTTTTAGTATGGATACTGTTTCAGTATTATTATCTGAACACTAAGGTACCGATCTACTAACTTAATAAAACACAAGATACTAATATGTAATATTCTTAATTTGTCAGAAAAAGTTTACTTCTTTCTCCCAGTCTGTGGTATTTGTTAGGACAGCAAGAAATAGAACTTGCATGACTAATGCCACTACGATTCCCATCCAAAGCCCCTGATCATGACCACATTTGATTTGAAGTCAACTACATGGTTAGTATTCTCTTTCCATACTAATCAAGTAAGAAGCAAGAACAATGGCAAATAACAAAAACCAAAAAAAAAAAAACAAAAAACAAAAAAAAAAAGAAGGGTGTGGTCTACCTTTCCACCAATGTGGTAGACAAAGGCTAACAATATAGCAGAAGGAATGCCAATAATATAATAAGCTGCCAGATTCACAAAGGCCCCAATCTTTTGGCGCCCAGAGCCTCTAATGGAACCTGAAAATATAATTCTGTCAATTTTTTCAAACAGAATTTGTTGAGAAACCTTCATTTAGAATGGAAAAGATTTTTGAAAGAGTGACTAACTAAAAAATATTTTCATAAGGGGTACATAAGAATTCAATCTTTGGAGTAAAAGTACCTGAGGAGACTAGTTTAAAAATCTTCTGTATACCTGACCACTGTAACCTTAACACAAGTCTAATCATGTTTAGCAAAAAAATTTTAGCAAGTGCTTTTCATCTATATGACGTAATGCATTATTTTCCACAGAAAAAATGGAGACAAACTTGATATATGATAGAAGAAAAGGAGAAATTGATAAATGGATAGCAAAAACCTGAGAGAATGGACTGAATTCCGTCAAAAACGTGGGAAACTGAGACCAAAAGCATCATTTCTCCCACATATTTAACAACCTTTTCTTCCTTGCTGTAACAATAGCCCCAAACTCGACGTCCGAAGATCATGAAAGCGGCTACCAAAAAGCTTTCTGTAACAACCATGGACAGTCCAATGCATATCGCTAAACGAGCTATTTGCGGTCTCCCAGCACCCAATTCATTCGAAACTCTTGCACTGACAAACAGCAGAAGAGGCAAGAATTGATAACAAAAAGTATCGTTATGACAATTAGGCATGATAGGGGATAAACCATGGTCATCACATTCAACTTTGACTCACCTAACTACACCGCTAAGTCCGAGTGGTATCATGTAAACCAGTGAACATGTGTTAAGGCTGTGAATAATGAGCATGTTGGAATTGGTAAGTGACAAATACACTTTTGATATAGAAGACTATGGAATTAGTTTAAGAGACAATGCAAACCTGATTGATAGGACTGACGTTTCAAGTTTCGGATTAGGAAGAAGACCGGATAAGAGGACCATCATTTCAAATGACCAGATTTCCAAGCTGTTCATATACATGAAATGGAGAAACCCTCATAGTTCAAACACTGAAGAATCTTGCATGAAAAGGGAAGTAAAAATGAGTGAGTGAGGAAACACACCTCAACATTACAGCTGAAGGAATGGACAGTGTTAAAAACTTGGGGATTCCATGAAAAGCCTCCCTGGAGAACCCGGTCCATGTGTTTTTACAGGAAGGAGAGAGTCTGACATAGAGGAACAATGACAACGCATTAATCCAATACGAGATTGCGTTTGCCAAGGCTGCACCTCTATTCCCAAGGCCGGACTTGAACACCAAAATCCAGCAGATGAACAAGTGCAGTAATGTTGTGATTCCTATACAAACCATCATTGGAACTACATTGTTTTGTGACTGCAAGAATCTCATGTGGCATTGCGTAATAGCGTAAGCAAAGATGCTTGGTATCATGAAACGAGCATAACGGCCAGCCTCAGCTGATATTTCTGGGTCTTGACCCAAGAACTCAAGAATTTGCCCTGCATTCGCCCATATAAATGCAAGGGGAACGCTGACAATTAGAAGAACAAGCATTGCTCTTTGCATGTGTATGCCAAGCATGTGAAACTGTTTTCCTCCGTACGACTGACCACAGAACGTCTCAAGTGCGCTACCCATTCCAATCTATCCAAGAATATTTAATCCGATCCTTAGATTTCCATGCTCAATAACGGTCACAATTAAATTTGGGATAAACACATCATGTATCATAAATTTTGAGCACATCTCAAATAAGTTGGCACCTACTCAAAACACAACCCTATGGAAGCCCATCCAAACATTTTATCAAAAACGGTTAGAAAGTAAAAATAACAAAGTAACAACCCAAACTATCCTTTGAGCTAATGTTGTATGACCCAAAACAAAAGCGCTTATGGGAGGTTTCTGTCAAGTTCTTGGTGATAATTTGACAGGGGACTAAAAGTTGATACTTAAACAAAGTCGGGGACTAAACTATACAAACGAGATTCAAAGACCAAACTAGAGATAGAGACTACATATACATCGGACACGGACCCTAAAGCACTGAAACAAAACCACTCTATGCTGAAGGAAACTATTTTTTGCTGGACATTCAAGAGGCATGTAGCTACAGAACTTAAAGCACAGAACAGAACTATCAATAAACTAAGAAGATTTTTTGTTGAAAATAAAAAATAAATAAAAGCAAAATAAACAAGCAAACAAGGGGTAGAAACAGGTTCTGAACTATCAGATTTTCATTTCGTTAAATTGCCATTCTTTCCTTACTTTCCTTGACTTAATCTAACCGTTGAGAACTGTCTCTTGTCGGGTAGAGTTTGATAAGGCTCTATCCACAAACTCAGAAACTGAACATAGAATAGAACTTCGTTTTATGAAAACTAAAGATCCATTCTCCGTTCAATTTCTGGGTTTGTGGCTAGAGTCTTATTAGAGTAATTTCTCGTACCCAATCACAACTGTCCATAAAAGAAGAATTAAAGTGCTAATGAATTTCATACATCATAAAAGTCAGACTAACAAATTGAAAT